AACATCATGGTATCAGAGAGTCAATCCTAAATTCTCAATCGATTGAAAGCGATAGGTGAGTGATTCACCATTCTTAACCATGATGGTTAGATTTCTGATTACTGATTTCAGAAACTAGATTAAAGAATCCGATTATTTTGAAAACCATCAGTTTGTTCATAAAGATGTAAACCTTCAGATTAGACTGAGATTTTATCAGTCCAGCAATGCAAGTTGCTGAGTTACAGAGTTTGTTTTTGAAAGTCTTTAAGGAGTAAAAGACACTGAATACCACGATATGGTGGGTTGAAATAAGCGGGTAATTGGCCAAAACGTAATATCCAATGAGTCAGGAAGTTAAGACAATCAATCAACATTACCATTTACTGAGTTTTTCTCTCAGTTTTGTGTGTGTTCGCTATTATCTAGTATTTGTGTAGCTGTATCTTGGATGTTTATCATACGTGTTATTATTAAAATCGTAGATCTGTCATGACGTGACTAACTAACCGATTTCGTTGCTCTCCAAGCAGTGATGGCTATTGTAAACGTCAATTTGAACATACTTATTAATAACTGCTTATTAAACCTTTCGAAAACTCATAATGATACCTCAGGTATCTCATCCCATTGATTTTCTGAAGTTTATCAAAGATGTGCAGTTTGAGCGTTTGTTTTTATGACTGACCGAAAAACTCCTCGAGTGTTAACTTAAAGGCTCTGATTAGAGCCTTAGAGCGTGTTCAATCAAGGTATAAAAAGTTGTTTGGACTGAAGGACAAACCACACATGGTTCCTCAATCAGCTCTAAATTTGTAAGCTATACAGTATGAAAGTGCTAGGTGGGACGTGGCCATCATATTTCATGTCACTTGTAATTCTCTTCTCTCCAATAAATTCATTACCAAACTTTAAAACTCATATTAATGTTAGAACAAGAAATGAGTAATCTGGAAACTTAAACGAGATTTTCTGTGGTGAGAATTTGCAAGTGAAATTTACAACTGGAAGTAATAGTGATGGGATTTCTTAATAATCACGTCAAATGGCGGCTCCCGTTAGCTTTATTTCTCAGATGTTAGAGAAACTAACCCAAGATGTAACTGGCCAACCAGTCCTTTGGTTGTCGTTCAGTGTTTTCACCTGAAGGAATAACATTGTTTCTTATCATGGCTCTACACTAACATATATGTATGGTTTACAACAATAAAATCATTATTGCGTAAAGTAACCACTCGAGGAGATCAAACAGGGCATAAGAAGAATTATATCTCCGTCGAAAGCAGCCAGAAGCCTGCAGTGTGGCGTCGAGTCCCGTTTGACTATGATCACCACTACAAGAAGACTACGTTCCAGTTAACAGGTTAGATCCCCCGTAGGCCAAATATCAGAAGGCATTTGATGGCTGTAGTCGAGATGTATTTGTTGGCAATATAGTGGTATTGGAAAATACCGAGATGGTGCCAAGGGATACAAGTGGAACTACTGAGCGAACGAAAGTTCACGCAAGGTCACAAGCAACCGAAGAATGTATATTTTTAGTAAAGGTAAACAAAGAAGTACAGTAAAACAATCCCTGGTACAACTGGTCATAATAATAATTGTTTCCATTATACCAATTGCGTTCCCTTGATAAAAGTAGGTCACTACAAGCCAAAGCTGAATAATATCACTACTTACTGGTTTCCATAATGAAACTGACTACTTAACCAGTATTGTTAACTCATTAACGCAGAGTTGAAATACTAGGAGGCCCATCATACCACTTTAGAACCGACGAATATTGTATCGACAGAAAAAACTGCTGTTCTAAGTTGATGTCCATTACGTTTTCATAACTAATAAGCTAATCACATACGAAGGACTCCTGTAAGGTTCATGCTGTTGTGGAGCTAACAGATTTTGAGATTCTACACGAGTCAGTAAATTATTTAAAATCAGATTTCTTGGCCTCCCACCGCTACACTAGTAGACTGATTGTTCTGAAATTAAAGATGATCAATTTCTATCCTTCAAGACAGCTAACGATCGCTTTTCCCAATCTATGACGTGATGAATTTAGAAAAGCAGTATGACGAATAAGCCGGCCATTGGTTTAGAGATATTGTTTTTAAGATACGATATCGATTTGAAGTGTAGCTTTTTAGCCTTGTGGTGAGCTAATTAGCACAGAAGAGATGCAGGGTGCCGAACCATCCTTGAGCTTTCAACTTTGTCGAGAGGAAATAGTAAACAATAGTTTTGTGACGTTGCCGTCTAGATTGTACAGGATAACTTTTGGGTAACAAGGGCTTAATACCCCTGACGCTCTATCGGAAATATGGATGAATAGATTTTTGCCTCACTCAGGGGCAAATGTAACATTTTGTAAGCTATTCTTACTAAAACGGCCACAAGCATTTATAAGCAGGCTCTTTCGTTATCCACCACAAGATGATACATCAAAGAGTGTAGTTTAACGCTAAAATGCAATGATGACTTGCTAGTGTGTAACGAACTACGAAAAACACTTTACACAATGATAATACGATTAAACAGAGGTTACAAGTTAGATAAGTTACGACACGACAATTGTGACTCATTTCCAACTCTCGAAAGTTTTATGTCCCTTCTACTCAAAGTCGCTGTAAAGAAATTTTTTTAAGAAGGAGGATAAATTGAAGTGTTTCTTGATAGAGCCTTGAATAAACACTAAGCATGCACTTCAGACTTTTAAAATTGCAAATTTGGAGCCGCGGCTAGTTAAGAGTTGCGTTACTATTAGTAGTGGTCATCCTTGTTTGCTCGAATTCTTCTGGTGTTCTGTGTTTATTATTTCAGTATAATTCCAAGGTTAATTTAGTGTTGAAGTCTTGAGGGATAATGTCTCGCATAAAATGTCGTCGAAGACAAGTGAAAAACTGCCCTTTTCCCATAAATTAAGTGTGACAATGTTGCGTGTCAAGTGTGCGATATCTCGCACTGACAATTTTATGGAACTTTGGGTGAATTTTGAAAAAAGTCAAACCTGGGTCTATTCTGGGCTTTCCGTTGTGATTTCTCAAAATTATCTACAGCGTTTAAATGAAACTTCTAAAATTTACCAGTTTTGTCACAACGTTGGGAGCTTAGGTTGTAGTAATGTTTACTAGGCCTCGTTTAAAATATTTCAGATCCTTACGATGAATACATTTCTTATTTTCAATGGATTTTTGACCGAAAAATGTGCAAAAAGACATTCTCAAGAGAGGTAAGAAGGTAGAGGTCCTAGTCAAAAATGGGAACAAAAAGCCACAGTGAAGCGACACCTGACGTTTCCATCATTCTACTTTTTTTATGGTCCCACTCTGCAATATTGATATGGTCAACAGTGGAGGTTTGCACTTATTATCGGAGTACAAGGTTTCATATCGTTTACCATCAACTGGCATTCGTCAGGCTTCGGTATTCCGTGAAAATTTTCCCAGTAACAGATGTTACTTCGGCTTTGAAGGTTTTTTTTCTAATCAGTCATAACTTCCTCGTAAATACAAATTGGTATCCGATTCACATAATTTGTTTTAAGTTCGTAGATATGAGCTACTTCAAGTCTAATCCACAAAATCACTGCCAAAAACACTTCGCTTATTTCAGTATGATTGCCGTAAAATTTTCGGTTCATAAATAATATGTAGGCGTGACTGCTGTCATCAGATTGTATATTGAATGCCACATTTATGTTGGGAGTCTCATCCCTGGTGGGTCGGTGTCTGATGAAATTTTGACACGAATTCAGAAAGCCCGGTTGACTATTGCTAACTTGCGTCACATGTGGCGTAGGAAAAATATCCGTTTTCCAACTAAAGAGCAAGTGTACTGCTCACCAGTCCTCTGCATTCTTCTTTATGAGTGTGGAATATGGCCTTTAAAAATAGAGGGTGCTTGTAGGTTACTAATATTCGATCATAGGTGCCTTGAAGGCATTATTTCTATATGTTGAAATCATCGAGTTCCCAATCTTGTGGTTAGACGTGAAGTATTGGGTATGTATTAAAAAACGATTGATGAGGTAGTAGATCTATATTGACCGAGATAGCTGGGACATATATTACGCATGCCTATCCACCGATTACCTCGATGCACAATGATTGCTGCTGTACCAGTGAGTTAGAAAAAAAGTAGAGACGGCCCAGCCAATACATGACATCACATGTATACACCTACACCATTGTGGTCGATTCTGTGCCATGTCACCCAGAATCTCCAACCGTTGGTCACAATAGTCTCACGGATCCCAACCAAGTAGTATACATCTACCAACATGTCTCACACCAGAAGTTGTTGGGGGTGGTTTGAAGAAAGTTGGGGGTGGCCAGACCAAAACGTGGCACCAGTCCTTGAAGTCACTAACTTCTAGTCTGAGTCATGTTGGTACATACAGACTACTTGGTTGGGTCCGCACGACTATCGTAACCAATCGTTGGAGACTCTGGGTGACATGGCGAAGGTGTATACACCCTTCGTCTTCCCTTAAACAGTGAGATTAAAATCGCTTTATACCTTTATTTTTACGAACGAGCTTTTGAGTCCGTGCAGAGGTTTCATCGGACATCAATCCATTAGGGCTGATCAGACTTCCAAGATAAGTGAGGTTATGGACGCGTTCGACTACTTCACTCCTTGTCGAGCTCTGCGTGCTCATCGTAATTAATGGTTGGAGACTTTGCATGATAGTTCAACATCGTTAGCAATGGCCTAGGTGCAATCACTCCTTGTCTTCCCAGAAGTTCCAAGTTCCTAAATTCCTCATTTTATAAATGATTCCACTCATCGATATGTTCTCGAGTTGTATCTTGGATGCCTTATCCTTCCCATCATCACTATTAGTCCCGTTACTGTCTCGACTACTTTGGGACTTACTCTGACGGTTTCACGTCTCTGTGCAAAAGGGGTGTCACAACTAGAACTAATGTTTTCTTGTACCAGGTTCTACGTCGTATTTGACTGACTGACCATACATTGTGCTTCGCTTTTCTTAAGTTCACAAATCCGATACGAGATCTATGAAAAAAGGATCTGTCTTCCTAATGGTTCATTTTATTTACAGTTGCTACATGTGTGATCACAGCATTGGTAGTCATTGTTGTCATTCGCATAAAGCCGATAATTCCCCATCGTTTAGCTTGTACTGGTTTATTGATATACATAATGTAGAATGTTTGAATGAATCTATTTCTGGAAGTGGTAAACTTGTTTTCAAGCCTTATGAGGTATGCTTACTGTTTCATAATTACTGTGCTTAGGATCGTAAAGATTCAACTGTTTATGTTGAAAGTGATGTTGATCAAGAATTGTTATTTAATATACCGTTTACTGGAAACATAAAACTAATGAGTATTATTATATCTGGTGCTGATACCGAACAACATCCAAGTAAAGTGTCGTTGTACAAAAATAAACCTTTTATGACATTTGAAGATTTAAGTGTAAGTTTATTTTAAATTAAATGTAATTTGATGCCAAGAAAATAGGCTGAATGTGAACAATCACTCGAATTAGCTATTGATCCAAATGGTGAAGTAATATATCCATTGAAAATTTCACGCTTCTCGAATGTGCAAACACTGAGTTTACATTTCAGTGCTAATTACGGGGGTGATAAAACACGGATTCACTACATTGGCTTGCGGGGAGATTATACACCAGCACCAAGACGAGAAGCTGTTATTACAAATTACGAAGTAACTCCAAATGTTTCCGATTTAAAAGACAACATATTACAAACTCAGAGTCGTTTTGTTGAATAAATATAAAAGTCTTTGATTGTTACGTGTTTTTTCTTCATCTAATATTTTATATGTATCATTTTTCACTGAATAATGATATTGTCTTTTAGAAAACATGGATGTAAAAAAAACATGAATTTCAACTTTGACTTAGTTCAAAACATCTCTCAACTTCTTTCACCTCTAATTACTGAAGATGAATTAAAATATCTTGAAAAACTTCCAAGAGGACCTTTATCTAGTAAATCATCTCATCAAGATCCTATTGTTCCTAGTCTATTGAAAAATGCAGAAGATGAAGTACTACGTTTATATTACAGGCAAGAATACTTTAGAAAAGCCTATAATGATACACTTAAACGAATGGATACTTTAGCTAATAGTCTACCATCATATGCTCTTGATTATATTACAACTTCAAGATATCATGAAGATACACTTACCAAAGAAGATGAACAAGAGGAGGATATTTCACTTGATCCTGATTATATAAATTTTATGATGAAAACTATACAACATCGTCAAAATCGTGATCATATTGAATCAGATTTACACAATATTCAATCAATGTTAAAAGCACCACCTCGTAAATTGAATAAATCTACAAATATTCAAACAATTGATTCTCAAATTGAAATGCTTGAAGCTTCTTTATTACATTATTATGAATTTGTATCACCTTGTCGTGATTCACCAATTTGGCCTATTTTACCATTAAAACAAAATTTGTAATGATTTAAATTTGTTTTTAATTTTGTTATAAGCATCATTTAATTATAAATATTTTTAAACATTTTTATCTTTTTCTTATATTTTTAGTATATTTAATATGCTATTTGTTGCTATCCTCTCTCTCTCTCTTTTTTTTCTCTTTTCTAATCACTTATCATGTTGATATTGTAGACAATGAATAAAGTAATTAACAATTTATTAGATTAAAGTCAAAAGCATATCATTGAAGATTTAACTATTGATTTAACAATTCCTATTGTTACTATTACCATAATCATCATCATCATAATGGGTGTACGAGGATTAACAACCTACTTACAAAGTGATCCAAGAAATTTTACTGAATATCAATTACATAATACAACTGTTATTATTGATGGATTGAATTTTTTAAATTTTCTTTATTTTGATTCTGGATTATATACACAATTTAATGGAGAATATTTAGCATTCAGTGAAGTAATTCATCGTTTTATTAATATATTAAAACGTTGTCGTATAAATCCTATTTTTGTTCTAGATGGATGTCATGATGTGAGTTCACGTTTCTTTTTTTTTTTCTAATCGGTATGAATTGGTCCTTTTTTTCTATGCAAATCAATAATCAAATGTGATTTTATGTTTTAAGCTCTATTTTTAATGGTTTTTAAAACATCACAAATGTACAGAACCAGTCTTGATCATTGTAAGGTTTCACTGAACATTATCAAAAGTATTGTTATAGTCTGGGATAATTGTGATGCTGGATAACGTAAGTGTAGGTTGGACATACAAACCAAGATGTGTTTTCTGTTGATGAAGATATTGACTATTGATCTGAGCCATGTTAGTCAGTATAGTCTACCTGGTTTAGGTTTGTAGGCTAATTGTGGTTACTTTTTGGAGGGATTCATTGGTGTGAGTCAGAATGAATTTCATCAGTTTATATACACCTATTTTAGATCATATTTGATAATCATATTTGACAATATTTATAGATTTTTTAAAAAGTTTGGTAGAGTTTAAAATTCTTCTTGGTATAGCCATGATTGATGGTACTACATGAGAACATCCAAGCACTTATGCAAATGACTATATTAGAATCAATGATCAAGTAGTTTTACGATGACCTTTCCGTTTAATATTGTGTTCGTGTAGCTTCTTGGGTCCTTAGATTTGTAGACTGTAGATACATTGACGTTGTAAAACTTGAGATGCTATTAGCTATATGTACTTGAAGTGACAGAACTATCCCCACTACTCCTTCTCTAGATAGTTCTTGTGAATGCGTTGGTTTCTTTGAAGTATTTCAATATAGGACATTACTATGTTTTTGTTGGCTTGGAAGAATGGTTTTTAGTGAATTCAGTTGACCATACTTTCTTAGAGACAAATTCTGGAATGTCCCATCTTTTTTTGCTCTGACATTGTAGTCATAGGTTGTGAAATAGATTTGAGGATTACTTTTAAATATTACTTTGATGAGCCACTGAGAACATTAAAAGTGACTAATGTACCTTCTGTATGTGTTTTTATTTGTTTATTTTATTTATTTGAACACAAATATTGATACAAAGAGGCACCGAATATATATGCGCCACACAATAACAATGAAGTTGTTGAGATATAAAGAATGTGCAGTGTGTATCATAAAAAGAACAACACTGAACAGAAATAAGTGTATGAGAGTGAAAAAATAATAATAGGAGAGGCAGTTCAGTTAGCAAAAATACAACCTGAAAGAATTCTTCCAGTTAAGGAAGTTACGTTTATTTTTTATGAAGAAAGTTACAACAGAATCACCACTTGCTTTATTCTGAGCCATGTCTAATAACATCTCAATCCACTGTATTGCACCATCTCTAGGACCTCAACCAGGGAGTCGTGGGAAACCAACAGAAGCCATTCCTGTACAGCTTTCTCTCATATCACGACACCATGTCATAAACTGACCACCTCTCCGCTTTTTCCAACCTGTCCTAGTGTCGGCAAATAATGCACGATGTGGAATTCACTGGGACGACATTCGTAGGACATGTTCGAACCACCGATGTCGACGTTTCAAGATAGTGACACAAATTGAATTATCGTCGTTGTGCCCAAACAGACGATGCTGAACCTCTGTATTAATAACATGGTGTTGCCATTAAATGTCAGCAATCCTTCGGAAACAACGATGATCAAACACAGTGAGTCGTCTAACATCCTCAACTCGGAAAGGCCAGGTTTCACAAGCACAGAGCAAAGCTACTTTTATCGATACGTGGCACATCCGATGTTTTACGACCAGACCAACATTACGAAGGCGCCAAAAATGTCTCAAACTGGCATAAGGCACTCCGGCTTTGACTATACGTGAATTGATCTCATCACTCAAGCTACTGCCATCACTTATGCAGGTACTCAGATACACGAACTTGACTACTTCTGTCTTTTCACTACCCAGGGTGGGTGCAGGTTCAGGGTCCTGCCAGTCTTGCTAAAGTACTTTGCACTTCGAAGTTGCGAAGCATATACCATACCTACGGACACTAATGTTCCAATTGATTAAGTGCTGATTGTATGGCTTGGGTAGCATCGCACAGTAAGACAATATCATCTGTATACTTAAGGCTGAGAAGCCTTTCTCCACCACCACCATTACCTATGTCCATCTGAACTGTTTCCAGAAGGTCATAAATAGCAAAGTTTTTGGGGGGGATTGAGATTGGGCAATTCTGCGTTACTCCGCTACTTGAGTGGAACAGTGGAGAGAGGTGGTTGTATGCCCTCGATTTGCCTGAGGTGTTAGTATATAGGGCTTTCAAGATATTAACAAACTCAGGCACACCCTTCTTCAATAGAGAATTCCAGAGAACATTACTGTCCAACGAATCGAAGGTGACCCTAAAAGAGAGTAGATAAGTGATGTAGTATAAATGGAATAAAAACGAATGTTATCAAATGATTGTGAATGTGGTTTGTCTGAATGCTAATTGAAGGAAGAATAATTTTTCCGGTAGTAATCGCCATTTGGTTTGTTTGTGGGCTGTGATAATGCCTGAATGTCCAAACCGAAGCAGGACTAATTATTTCCTTTAACAAGTGCCTGTTCCTTATTTTATCAGAGCATGCAACAGTCGTGATATTAACTGTATCAGAGGTTTGTAAGTGCAGTTCAGGGTTCGATTTACTTAATAGGCTTTTTCATAATTTACCATTAAATCTTATCTAACTTTTTATTAACCGACTTTTTCCGATTTGATAGATTGGTTTCAAATCGTCGATTTGAAATAACTTTGTTTAAAGTACTAAACGTTATCGCCATTTGTTATGCGTATGGTATTATTTTATCTTTGTTGAAATGTTCGATAGATTTCCCAAATCGATTTTATGTCTAAGTGAATGCTGAGCATTCTAAAAATTGACAGCTTGGTAGTCAAAGAATTTAACTTTTAATCAATAGGTCACAGGTTGAAACTTCTTTCCACCTACTTCGGTTTAAATAGATGTGCTGTATCATAAGTCGTCAATTAAAAGATAGTTTAACTCAAACCCAGATACATAAACCCCTACTTAGTAGGTAAGTCACATTATCATCATGAAGAAGATCGAGTTGTTGACCCAAAGCCCTTAATTAATCAATATCGATAAACGGAATAACCAGTTTTCAATAATACTCGTTGCTTTCTAGCAAAGTTCTATGGTCCATACATATTAGTTTACAAAACATTTAACACTAAAATAAACATTCTTTTAAATTATATAGAAGGCGATTATTTGTCAGATACGAATTCTATAGATCATTCATCAGACAACAAGATTAAGACCTTGCTCTACTGAGTTTAATTCTTACCTACTATATTACTATATTGTATGTACTGGTTTCCTAGTATTACAGTTATACAATGTGTCTAACTATCTAATTGTTTATTTACATTTATTTAAATACCTAAGCATTGGTACAAGGCGGCATCAAACAGATATGCACCACATAAATCATTCGATTTTTATGAGGGCTGATATACTGCCCGGGTGCCCAAACTGAAGCAGGTCGTTTTCTTAGCGGACCCCATCCCGAGCCTTTGACTTAAGGGTCTAATTCACGAGGCAGTGGAGAAACGTAAGTAGATGCAGTTCCATAGTAGCCAGTGACAAACATTAGGTTCATACGCCATTTGGCTCCTTAGGATCCTGGAGTCAATCAGTCAGTCAGTCAGCTGCAACGTAGGACCAGGCACGTATATGCATCGGTCCAAGTTGCCATACCGCGTTAGCACAACAAGATGAACACCGGATTCATAGAAGTAGTTAATTCAGTGGTGGTAATATATAGAAGAAAGAGTGTGTATAAGGAGATAGTACAGGAAGATAGAATTAGTTCGTAGAAAGAAAGATTTGAAGTGATTTTAATCTCTTAGTTTAAAGGAAGACAGATAGTGTATACACATACGCCATTGTGATCGATTCTGAGCCATGTCATCAAGAGTCTCCAACCATTGGTTACGATAGTCACGCGGACCCCAACCAGGCAGTCTGCATCTACCAACATGGCTCAGACCAGAAGTTAGAGACTTCAAGCACTGGAGCCAATGTACACTGTTGGTTTGGAATCAAGGTTTTCTAACTCCCCTAGGTGGATCCTCTGTATCCACAATTATCAATCAAGGCAGTCAGTCAGCTACAACGTAGGAGCAGTCACATATGTGCATCCCGGCCGTTGTTGCTACCTTGACGTGGTGGTCGGGCTTGTCTGTCGTGATGAAACAATCGATATACTGGCTGGAACAATCGTTCCTCAAGGTCCTACCATGCCAGACAGGTCGGTTGAAGAGCTGTAAGACTAAAAGTAGCAAACTCAAGGTCTGATGGCGAAGTCGTACTGTTGACTGTACAGAGATGTGATAACAGTAAGGTGTTTCTCTCAGACAACTAGCATAACAGCGAAGCTGCTTTCCCACAAGGAGGTGTGGGGTTAGATAAGGTCGACTCCAAAAAATGCACATTTCGTCTTATTCCACGGATATCTGTCTCCGGTGGTAAGGTCTCAACAAGAACAGAACTAACACAAAAATTACTTACAAAAATATTGTATATGACTGACCTTAAGCAGTTATCCCTTGAGCACTGCATTCACTCTCTCAGGTCATTAAGACTACCTCTAACGTAATTTCTTTTTTAGTTACCTCTTGAAGAATCTTTCCGTAGTGTGAGTAACCGTGAATTGATAACCACCCTCATATCACTGTATTTAATGAAGGCATACTAAATGATAGAAATTTTTTCAAAGTTCCACAATCATATTATATAACTAATGATGTTTAACATGGTTACGTGATTAAAGTTTTAATTAATAGTTTCTGTTTTCATTATTATTTTACATATTTCTAATATTATTTTAATCATGTTAAAAAAATTTTTCTTTCTCCTTTTTTTTCTGATTACGTAATACGTATATCTGTCTGTCTGTCTATCAATCTGTGTATCTATCCATCTGTCTGTCTGTCTATCTATCCGTCTGTCTGTCTAACTATCTAACTAACTATCTATCTAATCTAATCTAATCTAATCTATTAGCATTTCAAATTGAATACACAAATGAAAAGAAATTATCAACGAATGCAAACATGTCGTACATTATTAAATTCTATTAAAACTTATAAATTATCATCTACTAATTCATTATATAATATTCAATTACTTCCACCATTAACAATTATAACATTTATTCAAACATTGAATAAATTAAATATAGATTATATAACATGTGATAATGAAGCTGATCAAATTGTAATGAGTTTAGGTATTTATTTAAAATGTCCAATTATTAGTAATGATTCCGATTTTTATATTACTATACCTAATCATTATGATCAAAATCAGGATCATCCTGTTCAGGATCAATCAATGGATCATGTATCATTTTTACCATTATCATTAATATCTTTTAAACCAATGAATAATTTAATTAAATGTAATCATTGTCAACAACATAAACAATTATGTATATATTTAAATTGTCAAAAATTTTTAATAAATGGACCTGGTTTCAAAAATTTACCATATAAACAACGTTCATTATTAGCTTGTTTATTAGGGAATGATTATATCTCATCAAATAAATTTTTAAAAGGATTACCTATATCCTATGGGAAAACAATATCATTAAATAATAATGCTAATAAACAAATGAAATTAAAACGTCGTAAATTCATTATATTACAATTAATTAATTGGTTATCTTATTTTGGCACTAATATTGATAAACCTATTCAATGTATATTAAATAAATATCCAAAATTAGAACGTATTCAATTATATAATCAATTAATGTATAGTATAAATAATTATAATATCAATTCAAAATTATTATACACAATATTTAATAAATATTTTAAATCATTAAAACAAAATATAAATGATAATAATACTATGGAATATAATACTTGTAGTATTGATAGTAGTAGTAGTAGTAGTAGTAATACAATGAAATCTGTTACAACAATTCCACAACATTTATCACCGCTTAATTCGTCATATCCTTCTAAATACGATAAGGAGATGGATAAAAATCAAGTATTAACCATTGAAGAAGAAGAAGATGATGATGATGATGATAGTCGTAATACATGGAAATCTATCACAATTCCACAACACTTATCACCATTTAATTCATCATGTTCCTCTGAATATGATGATGAAATGGATAAAAATCAAGTATTAAATATTGAAGAAGATGATGATGATGATGCTGAAGTTGATGGTCGTAATACAACAAATTCCGTCACAATTCCACAACATTTATCACCGCTTAGTTCATCATATCCTTCTGAATACGATAAAAAAATTGATGAAACTCAAGAATTGATTATTAAACAACAACAAGAAGATGATGATACTGAAGATAATAGTCATAATACAATGAAATCTATCACAATTCCACAACCCTTATCACCTCTTAATTCATCCCGTTCTTCTGAATATGATAGTGAAATGAATAAAAATCAAGAATTGATTATTCAAGAAGAAGTCGATGATGATGATGATGGTGGTGTTAATGAATTGAATGAACATCATACGAATGAATCTATTCATCATCATCATCATCATCACAATAATTTATTTCCAATAACATCCTATTGGCCTAATGAATTATTAAATTCATTTAGAAAATATTTAATTTTACCAATTTATATAGATAGTTTATTATCATATGGTACAATATGTTTATGTTGTATAGAATCATTATATCATTATAAATCTATTTATTGTAATACAATATATCTTCGTACATTAATTTATAATTTATTATTAGGCATTGAATCTAATTATACATTACGTTATCCAAATCAATTAATTGGTTTAAATCAATGTAATCATACATTATATTATTATATTATAGAATATGATCGTAAAAATGCATTTTATATAAAAAAACGTAAAATATTTGTTGAACCAATACATTTATTATCATTATATCATCATCATAGTGATCATGATCATAATACTGATCATAATCATAATGATGAATTAAATAGAAAAATAGATCAACGTTTAATATTTCTTCAATATTATTTAAATCTTGATTATAATTTTATAAAATTACATAATCATTGGTTAATATCTATTGCATTAATTAATGTATTTTATTATAAAACTCAATGTAGATCACTTGATACTACTAATACTACTACTAATAGTACTACTAATAATACTACTAATCATATTGATGATATAACACAATGTCCTGTATCCCTTACATTTGGTGCTATATGTATATGTACATATTTATTAACAATTCATCATCATCATCATGATAATCATTTATCATATTATAAATTATTAAATAAACATTATTATAAATGTGCAAATTATTTTCTAAAACAAATACATTCTTTGATAAATATTAATAAAACTAAGAAAATAATAAATAAAAAACAATTTCATACATTAAATATAGATTATGTACATAAATATGGTCAATTACAAATTATTTATATTACATTATATACATTAATTCAATTATTAGATACCATAGTAACAATTAATGAAAAAAATCAATTAGAAACATGTTTAAATTTTTTATCAATTTATTTTATGTTTCCAAGTGGTTATTTATTTCATAATATATTATATTGTATTAATTTAATTCCATCCAATACTACTACTAATACTACTACTACTACTACTACTACTAATAATAATAATAATGAACGTTATCATTATGTACGTAATGTAATTATAAAAGAATTATTAAATGATCATCCTCATTCTAATCAATATTTAAATGATGCATTGAATTTATTTGATCAATATTTACAATTATGTAATGATCAATTCAATAATATATATTATAAATCTTTAAAAAAATCAAATATTATTCATCATTCAAATCTATTAGATAATAATTCGATAAAACAAAATTTATTGACCATAGCAACAATAAATAAAACAACTGAAATAAAAATAAAAAAAAGAAAGAAAAATTGTAAACCATTAAAACATAATAACCGTTGTAAACAATTATCATATGCTGAAATAGAAGAAAAAGTTAAAAAAATTATGTTAGAAAATGATTTATTTGATTAAAGATAAAAAAGTAAAAGAAACAAGAAGAAGAAGAAAAAGAAAAAAAACAACAAATTATTATCACTTGTGTATAATGAGAGAAAAAAAAGAAAAGAATATTGTAATTAGTATTTTTTTTTCTTTTTTGTTTTTGAAAAAAAGAAACAGTATTTATTAAAGAATTTTTTATTTTTAATGGTCTATTTTTCATGAATGAAATTGATATTGGATGTTGTTTTTTTTGTTTAGTTTAAGATAATGAATGATACAAATAAGGATTTACTTTGCTGAATGACATACTTACGGTTGTTGGCCTGAAAATGCCCTGGTAAAGCCGAGAGTGGAGAGAGTTTGTTGTCCCTCTCGAAATGGTATCACATGGTCACGAGTTTATAGCCTCTGTCAGGGAAGTCCTACTCACTGCCTTCTCGTGGTGGGGGTGTTGTTCACGAAAATGAGAGGACAAAAAGCTGTTATCCTCTATGGGGAAGTTATTTTAGTTTTGGAATTTATGTTACTTATAAGTAACACATTTAACTGAGATGACATTTTTAAATACAAGCACATAAATTGAACCCAATCAAAATTTGAGAAAGGAAAATCAACTACACTTGGCTACGTGACAGTAATTGTTAAATTACGTAACAATTATTACATATATCAAACAGCGATTCTATGCAAAAGATCAGTTAGATTTTTTTACTAGCTTTCCAAATTGCATCAGAAGATGAAAGTAAGAAAAAAAGTAGACTTGAAAATCTTTATATTTCAATTTTTCAACACTTTAACGAAATAATTCGGAATATTTCATCGGAAATACTGACATTGATAGACATATGATGTACTTGCAGCTGTTATCCATGGAGGAGCATAGGCTACTTACCAGCATTCTCCATCCAACTCTATACTGGGTAATCCTATCTAGTTGTTATTCATTCTTTTGATGTCTCCTTCCCATTTCCATTGCAATGTGTTTCTTCGTCTTCCTGTCTTCCTTTTCCTTTCAGTATCCAAAATTACACCTTGCCTCTTGATACAGTTTGGTAATTTCTGCAATGTATGCCTTATCCACATTCAACGTTTTTTTTCCAGTTTCCTCTTCACGTGTAAGCCTGTTTGTTCTCTGCTATAGTAGGTTGTTACCGTTAGTATCGTTAGTACCATTAGTAATCCAGAGGTTCGGCATCATTTGTTCGGGCGCAGAGACGATATTCCATTTGGTGTCACCATCTTGAAACATCGACTTCGGTGGCTTAGACATGTTATACGAATGTCGTCCCAGAGAATTCCACGTCTTGCATTATTTGCCGACTCTGGGACTGGTTGTAAAATGCGGAGAGGTGGTCAGTTTATGACATGGTGTCGTGGTATGAAAGAAAACTGCAAAGGGCTAGCTTCTGTTGGTTTTCTACGACTTCTTGGCTGGGGTCCGTGAGGTGGTGTAACAGTGGCTAGAGACGTTATCAGATATGGCTCAGAATAGAAGCCAGTGGCGATCCTGCTGTAACCTTCTTTTACTTTCTTCATAAAAAGTGGTTGTATCTTCCTTAACCGATCGATTTCTTCTGGTTGTACCTTTCCATTTCTCCACTATTATTATCACACCACCTTACATTAATCTGTGGTCTTTATTGTTCTCTTTTTTCCTTATACGCACCTTACCTTCTTTTTTCTATTCCCATTCTCATTGTTTTGTGTGGCACATATATATTTGGTGCCCCCTTGTACCAATATTTATGTAGTCAAATAAATAAGTTTCCGGCCAACGGGTGTGGAGTATCTTGAGTAGACAATCGATTATAAGTATTTCTACTATTTTGATGATGGTTGCGATAGTTCCCCAAGTTTCAGCTCCGTTCAGTAGGACTGTCTTGATATTCGTATTGAAAATTCTGACTGATATTTGTTGGCGATTGTTTTGAGTTGCACATATTCTTAAACTGTAGGAATGCCGTCCTTTCTTTGCCAATCCGTGCCTTCATATCTTTATCAGGTTTCCTTTGTTTATCACGTGTGCTGCCCAGGCACGTGAAAGTTCCCATCTCTTCCACAGCTTCTCCATCAAGTGTAACTGGGTCTGTGTTCTCCATGTGTATGTTGAGGCCTACTGAATCAGGGACTGCTGCTACACTAATTGTCTTCATTTGCATTATTTGGTGTGTACTGGATAGAAGGGGTAGATCATCTAAGAAGTCCAAGCTGTCCATCATATTCCGTGCTTCCCGTCAGATGTTGAGGTCTTCATAGTTCAACCAACCACCAGAAGAAAGAGAAAGGAGGAGAGTAAGCAGCCCTGTCTGACTCCGGTCCTCACCTGGAATGCATCTGTCAGCTGTTCTCCATGTACCACTTTGCAATGTAGTCCGTTGTATGAATTCCGTATGATGCTGAGAATTTTCTCAGGTACACTATGGTGTAGAAGAAGGTTCCATATAACGCCCATATCGGCACTGTTAAACGCCTTCATGTAGTCAAGGAAGATTATATATAGTGACGAGTTCCATTCAACTGATTGTTCAACATCGATATATATTGTTGTGATTTTGTTATAACACGACTGATCCTTATGAAATCCAGCCCGTTGATCTCGAAGTTGGGTGTCTACTGAATCTTTCATTCTGTCCAAAAACACTGTTGAAAACGTTTCATGGAACTGATAGTATTATGATGCCTCTGTAGTTTTCACATTTGCTCAGATCTGCTTTTTTGAACTCTTGATGACGTATCCTTCTTTCCAATCTGTCGGCACTTGTTATTCTACCCAAATCCTTCTGAATAGAATATGGACCATCTTGAACGTTTGATTTCAGTGCTTAAGCTGGTATGTTGTCTGGTCCTGTTGCTTTCTCACTCTCGACTTGTCTGATGTTCATGCTGATTCCTTCGATCGTTGGTGAAGTGAAAGCTATAGGAAGATTTGTGTGTGCTGCTTCGATGTCCAGTGAGTTTAGTGGGACTGGTCTATCTAAAAGTTCTTTAAAATGTTCTACACACCTGTTCTGCTGTTCTCGAATCTCAGCGATAGGCTTGCTTACGTTTTGTTTGACTGGTCCTTGCTAGTTTCTTGGTTATTAATAAGTCTTGTTAACTGAACGCTAAATTCGGTTTCTAAACTCTTTTAGTAACCCCGAGGCTAAATTTACGCAGCAATTTGAACACGAGAGAAAAGACGCGAAATATGTAAGGAGCACTTTACTGCAAAAATTCATTTATGTATAGAAAATCTAGAGTTTTGGTAGTACTTTAGGTGTTCTCGGGTTTCTCGAAAATTCTATAATGCTACTAAATATAGTAGCAGTATGGGTAATCATCCAATCAAAAACTTGACATGTGACTTTTCACTTCCTAAGTGTTTCTGGTAAGACCTCTAGTGAGTGCTGATTGGATAAAATGTTTCTCAGCATTTTCAGAGTCTTTGTTGGCTTTTTAGGAGTTTTCTTGTTCTCCCCAACCGTTATACCATATAGTTGTCTGATATTTCCTTCTGTTGCAGGTCTTCTATGTATTTCTGTTTTTTGGCTTTAATGCTCCTCTTTACTTGCTTGTTTGCTTATGTGTATTCAGCTTGTGCTTTGGCTTCCTCTATCCTTGTTTGACTGTTGCTAATCAGTGTCTTCTTGTTCTTCCTTTCTTGAAACCTGTCCAGGATTTCGATAGAGATCCATTCTCTATGAAGGTGTTTCTTATGACCCAGAAACTCATGATACCAGTCAAAGACAAAGAAGGAAGACCAATCACTGAGATTCAACAACAGCGCAACAGATGAGCAGAGTACTTCGAGGAACTCCTGAACAGGCCGGCTCCAATGAATCCACCGGACATCGAAGCAGCACACACAGATCTTCCTATAAATGTCAATCCACCAACGACAGAAGAAATCAGAATGGCCGTCAGACAAATCAAGAGTGGGAAAGCAGCAGGACCTGACAATATACCAGCTGAAGCGTTGAAGTCAGACATCGAAGTAACTACAAGCATGCTTCATCTTCTATTCAAGAAGATTTGGGAAGAGGAACAAGTGCCGATGGATTGGAAAGAAGGTCACCTCATCAAGATTCCAAAGAAAGGAGATCTGAGCAAGTGTGAAAACTACAGAGGCATTACACTACTGTCAATACCGGGTAAAGTCTTCAACAGAGTGTTACTGAACAGGATGAAAGACGCAGTTGACGCTCAACTTCGAGATCAACAAGCTGGATTCCGTAAGGACCGGTCGTGCACAGACCAGATTGCGACACTACGGATCATCGTCGAACAATCAATTGAGTGGAACTCGTCACTCTACATCAACTTCATTGATTATGAGAAGGCATTTGACAGTGTAGATAGGAGGACGTTATGGAAACTTCTTCGACACTACGGAGTTCCTGAGAAGATTGTCAACATTATCCGGAACTCGTACGATGGACTACAGTGCAAAGTAGTGCATGGAGGACAGCTGACAGACGCATTCCAAGTAAGGACCGGAGTAAGACAAGGCTGTCTACTCTCTCCCTTCCTGTTTCTTCTGGTGGTCGACTGGATTATGAAGACCTCGACATCTGAGGGAAACTACGGCATACGATGGACAGATCAGAACCAATTAGACGACTTGGACTTCGCAGATGACCTAGCCCTCCTATCACATACACACGAACAAATGCAGATAAAGACAGCCAGCATAGCAGCAGTCTCTGCATCATTAGGCCTCAACATACACAAAGGGAAAACCAAGGTCCTCAAACACAACACGGAGAACAGCAATCCAAATACTCTTGATGGCGAATCTCTGGAAGATGTAGAATCCTTCACATACCTGGGAAGCATCGTCGATAAACAAGGAGGTTCAGATGCAGACGTCAAGGCGAGGATCGGCAAAGCTAGAGCGGCATTCCTTCAACTGAAGAACATATGGAACTCAAAACAACTTTCAACCAATATCAAAGTCAGAATCTTCAATACGAACGTCAAGGCAGTTCTACTGTACGGAGCTGAAACTTGGAGAACTACAACAACCACCATCAAGAAGGTACAGGTATTTATTAATAGCTGTCTACGCATGATACTCAACATCCATTGGCCGGATACCATCAGCAACGGCCTTTTGTGGGAGAGAACCAACCAGCTTCCAGCTGAAGAGGAAATTAGAAAAAGACGATGGAAATGGATAGGACATACATTGAGGAAATCATCAAACTGCATTACGAGACAAGCGCTAACTTGGAATCCTGAAGGGAAGCGGAAAAGAGGAAGGCCAAAGAACACATTACGTCGGGAAATAGAAGCAGATATGAAAAGGATGAATAAGAACTGGAAAGAGCTTGAAAGGACTGCCCAGGACAGGGTTGGATGGAGAATGCTGGTGAGCGGCCTATGCTCCTTCACGAGGAGTAACAGGCGTAAGTAAGTAAGTAAGTAAGAACCTCATGATACGTTGAAGTTGATGCTTCATTAATCCCTTCCCAGTTGTTCTCCATAGTAGTTTCTTTTTCTGTAAATAGATATTGTAGGGCTTGTAACCTGTTGCTGTGAGCTACGTCATCTGCTCTCTTTGTTTTCACGCCTTTCACGGATTTTCTGAATTTTTTAGTGGTTCAAATATGATTGGTTTGGTTCTCTGTTGTGTAGTCTAGTAAGAACCATGTAGCTCTGTGTATTCGTCTGTGAATCCAGCTCGACGCGTGTCTCGTACTGTTTGGGACTCGTCAGCTGGATATACATGCATCTCACAGTTGATGTTCACTCCGTCAGGGACTCGAACCCAGTACCGTTCACACCAAACGCCATCGCATTCTCCACCTAGCTACTTAGTTCTGATAAGCACCTGCTTGTGTAATGAGGTGAAGTTGAAATTCACTTGGTATTGTTCATTTGAATCTTCTC